CCAACTATGTCCTCATGGGTAGCGGGAGACTACCCAAATACCCACACTGACCCACCTGCACTTATGATGAAGTGAAACGAAAATTCAATATGAACTTATGAAGTTATATAATGCAGGAAACTTGGTCTGTCATTGTGCACTTCAGAAAACATGGATATGGAGGGAGGATAGAAGTTAAGGTTGGCATTACCGAAGTGTGATGCAGCATGTACAAACACAGGTATTGTGGTTCCTTGAGCATCTAGAGCTAAATACAGCAATGATTCATCAGACACATGACCTGATGAGAGTATGATCTGCAAAACCTTGCTGACTTGTCAACCAAACATAAGGTCAGGATTTAGACATACCACCTTGAATGAGAGACACAAACCAAGATGAGTCTTGCCAGATGCATGGGTCCTGGGGACCATCTCACGCAAGTGTGTACATGACATGCATCATACTCGCACACAATGATAAGTAGTCTCACACAATAGACAAAGGTAGATGAGAAGAGAACCGAGTTTCCAGGCTTATATTATCAAAAATATGATTACAAAGTGTTTCCGAGTTCCCTTGAGTCCAGCGCTCATCACCGCAACACGAATCTCTCGTCAACTCMTCATTATGACTTCCAGTGCATCAGCGCTACATCTGCAGACTATCTCTACGTCATTAATGTGGTCACCACTCATCAGCGCCACTTCTGCAGTTCACATGCAACTCAGGTAAGTATCATCCATAGCCCAATCTTGAATGAACACTTTCTGCCTCGGCCCCTTCTCCCTATGATGCATACACACTCTTCTCTCATGAGGATCTACTCTGAATACTACTCGTAGTTGACTAACACTAACTCTCTAATACTAATGCTAACTGTTGGGCAGCTATGGCTGCATTACTTCCAGCATYCAGGCTTCTTCCCTCACTCAGCGCATCTTCATCCTCCAGCGYTGCTCCTCCTGACTCAACGCACAAGTGCACCAGCACTTCCACGCAATGAYAGCCAGTGGAGATCTGACGAGGAATGAGGCTGGCAGCTTTCTTTATAGTGCTGGCCACTCCTCGCTGGGTCTGCATTGKCTCAATTCAGCCTGYCCTTTGYCCCAGACCCTGCATTGCATGTGTCCCAGTATAGTCCCAATGAGGTTYGACTGYTGYTGGGGCCTCTCGGCCTAGATTTGGACTTCAAAGTCTRGATCYGGACTGACCCCTTGACTTAAACCAGAACTGGGACTGTGCCTATTGACTTTACTTTCGGACAGGCACAACTCTAAACGAACAGACATATTTACTGCCTGAACAGACACTTTCCTTTGCACGAACAGGTACRCTGCCTGCACGTACAKACACACTCTTACCCGAACAGACATGACATACACATCTCCTGGTGAACAGGTAAGTCTTTTGACAATGCCCTTTGCTTTAGACTTAGATGTGCCTGTTGATAGAGAACTTGACCTTTGACCTGCTTTCACGTTTCTGAGCCCTGGCGAGATACCCTTTCACAATGCTTTACTTTTACAAGGCCCGTGATGCTTTACTTTTACAAGGACGGAGGCCTACATCGGGTAAAGGCCTTTTTACTCTCGCCGGCCTAATTTCGAAGTCCTCTGAGAATCATGTACCTATCAAGGATATGAATCCCTCTCTTCACGCTTTCGTATGCAGACACAATATGAGGTGCAGAATCTAACAGTTCTTCTCTTGTAAACCAGCGATCTTCACTAGGATCCTTGTATGCAAACCTCACTTTATACTGTCGTTGTGGTCTGCCTCTACGTCCAGTGTGGTAAGTACTTTCCGCAACAATTTTATCCACGTCATACTTCCCATCCATACTTGGAGGTATCGCTGATTGGCGACTTGGGAAAAACTCATTCGTTACACAAGGTAAGAGCTTGGATGCATGGAACACTGGATATGTACGTAATTGAGGAGGAATCTCAATGACATACGAAGGACCATCCACATCTCCAATTACGTCTAGAACTTGGCAAGGTCCTCTGTAGGTGGGTAGAAGCTTCTGAGAGATGTTCTCTTCAGGAGCAAACTCTTTAGACTTCACCCAAACCAAATCTCCTACAACAAATTGAGACGGGCGTCTGTGTTTATTTGCCTGTTCAATCATTTGATGTTGTGCTTTAAGTATATTTTCTTTTACTTTCTCAATGTCTTTCTGATATTGGACTGCAAATTCACTAGTCCCTACAGGAAGCTTGTGTACTTGATCCGGGTTCAATCGATCAATGGGTCTGCGTGGACGCCATCCCAGATGTAACTCCATAGGAGTCTTACACGTAGATAGGTGCACAAAGTTGTTTTAGGCACTAGCAACCTTAGGTAGATGTTCATCCCAGTCAATCTGATCGGGATGAATGTACATGCGCAGAGTTTGCTGCAATATCTTGTTCATCTGCTCAGTCTGGCCATTAGTTTCAGAATGTCTGCCTGATGACATAGTCAACTTAGAGCCATATACATTCATCAGTTGCTGCCATTGTTCACTTGTGAACCTGGTATCTCTGTCACTCACAATAGTTAAGGGATGTCCAAAGTCTTTCACCCAATGATTAAAGAATTCTCGAATCACTAAATCAGTCTTCGCTTCTGAAGGCAAAGCTACAAAAACAGCATACTTAGTGAATCTATCCACTATGACCATTACTTGCGTCTTCCCATTTCTGCTTTTTACCTTAGTGTCCATGAAATCTATAGAGACAGAGTCTCCAGGGCCGGTAGGGATAGGCAAGGGCTTAAGTAGCCCGAGGGGCGATTGCGTGGTGTTTTTGTTTCGTTGGCACACTTGGCAACCCTGCACATACGCGATACAGTCCGCTTTCATTCGAGGTCAGGTGTAGGACCGCAATAAAGTCCCATAGGTCTTTTTCCACCTGAAGTGGCCTTCTGTATCATGGCATTCCCCCAAGATCATACTCTTGATCTCTTCATTATTGGGTATACACAGCCTATCATGTACATCAGGTCGTTCAAACAATAGACCCCGAGTTACTTTATGATTGGGAAACTCTGCTGGCTTTTCTTGCACTAGCTTAATCATGGCTCCATAAACAAGATCAAAGGGATACGCATTTCTAATCTTTTCTTGTAGGTTTGTACCTACATCTAGATAAGTCACAATAGCACCGAAAAAGTATGATCTACGACTTAGTGCATCAGCAACAACGTTATACTTACCCTTGACTGGCTTCAGCTCAAAGTTAAACATATCAATTTATTCATCCCACCTTGTTAACTTAGGTGGATTCGAGCTTGCGTTTTGAGCCAGCGAAGTGTTTCATGGTCACAGTATACTTTAAAATGCCTTCCTAGAAGGTAGTGTCGCCAAAGATTGAGAGCCTCACGCAAAGCGTACAACTCTCGTTCATACGTTGAAGCGGCCACCTTCTCGTTAGGTAAGCAGCAAGACATAAACTCTACAGGTCTGTACCCATGCCCATCATCTTGCTGGAGTAAAACACCTATACCATATTGACTAGCGTCGGTCGTGACCACAAAAGGTAATGAAGGGTCGGCTACTTTCAGAACCGGATAATTGATCAAACACTTCTTCAGACGCTTGAAAGACATAGTGCAGTCTGAATCCCACTTCCAAATTACTTCTTTCTTAAGCAATCGGCGAAGGGGAGCAGCTATTATCGTAAAGTGTCTYACGAACTTTCGATAGTAGTTGGCTAACCCAAGCAACGACCGCAACTTAGTCAAGGTGCCGGGGTTCGGCCAATCTCTGATTGCTGCGATCTTTGCATCTTCCGGTTTGACCCCATCTCCATCAATCACATGCCCCAGGTATAGAACCTGACGCTTAGCCCATTACACTTCTTTAGGTTTATCTTGAGTTTTGCTTCCCTTAGCTTATTTAGCACAAGTCGAAGGTGCTCAGCATGTTCTTCTTCATCTTTGCTGAAAATCAAAATATCGTCTAGATAAATCACAACAAATTTATCGAGCCACTCACAAAATAGTTCGTTCATTGTTCTTTAGAAAGTGGCAGGGGCATTTGTGAGACCAAAGGGTAGAACTATGAATTCGGAATGCCCATACCCCGTCCTGAAGGCAGTCTTATGTTGGTCTTCCGGCTCAACTTCAATCTGATGGTAGCCGGATTTTAGATCAACCTTTGAGAATACTTTGCTTCCTTGCACGCGATCCAGCAAATCGTCTATTCACGGTAATGGTTTGGCATTTTTCACTGTTATGTCATTTAACCTCCTATAATCTATACACATGCGAACGCCGCCGTCCTTTTTAGGCACAAAGAGCACAGGCGCACCATAGGGTGAGGAGTTAGGTCTTATCCAACCATTTTTCAACAACTCATCGAGTTGGGTTCGCAGTTCGTCTAATTCCTGGTGCGACATACGATAGATAGGCCCCTTCGGGGGCGCGCTCCCTAGAATGATATCAATGCGGTGGCGGATTGGTCTTTCCACCACACCGCTTAGCCACATCAGCGAACTCTTTCAGGATCCTCTCAATCTTTTGGGACCTGACTTCTTCCTTTGTTTCTCCCTCCTTTACTGGGCACACATATGCAACAAAGACTTGGTCATACAAGTTATGTTTCTTAACATGGCGAGCGAACGCTGGGGCACTCATACAACAGTGAGCTAGGCTGCTTTCCTTTCCAGATTCATGATAGAGGCGGATTTTCTTCTTACCTCCTTGCGGACTTGGAAGCCAACATTCATGTTCCCTTAACTTTAGATCCGCATGTGCAGCCTCACCCCAATCCATTCCTAGCAATACATCAAAGAGCAAGTTATCCTCCACCAAGAAGGTCAGAGAGTGGAGAACGCGTTCCACCTTCCCCTCTGCCTCTAGCCGAAAGTATACCTGTGTCCCCTCGACGTATCGATCCATGATGGTTTCTGTACTATTAGCTAGCTTACTTACAATGGGCTCATCTAACTTCTTAACTTTATGCCCAAGACGCAGTTTCCGCAACCCTCTTTTACTAATATAACTGCGCGTAGACCCGCTGTCTATCACACCCCCTACTCTTATTCGATTTATCTCTAGATCTGCAATTATTAGTTGTCCTTTCTTTTTACGCATTTCAGTCCAGGCTTGGCGACGAGCGGCCAACTCATCACCCACGCCAGCGAGGAATCCATCTAGAGAGATGCATACATTTGCCACCTCTGGACAGTGCACTAAATGGGGACTTCCTTCCTCTTCAATTTCTGCCATTGGGGCCTTCGAATGGGAGGATTCTGATTTTCCAACATTCGAAGCCCCCGTAGAGGCAACTGGCACCTCTACTGGTTGTTCCCTTTTGCCCCCCTATAGTCAGGGCAATAGGGGACAATGTGGTCGGGGTCCCCACATTTGAGGCATTGGTCGGCTTTCTTTTTTTCAGCCCATACCTTTTCTGTTATTCCCAACTCTTTCCAAGGCTCCCCTTCGGGTAGGCCTGGATGTGGTGGGTATGGCTTATCCCACTTGTTGTACCATGAGCCTCTTCCTCTACCCCAGGTGGAGTAAGAACCACGGCCACCGTATGAGGGACCATTTCCCCTTCCTCCCACGTAGTGGCTTCCTTCACCACCGCCCCTCTAGGTGCCGAATCCTCGTCCACCACGACTGCGACCTCTTCCTCGGCCACGTCCTCTTCCTTGACGCCCTCCCCCACGGGCTGCAACAGCCGCGTAACTCCCCTCCTGAGCTACCGGTCTGTTGGGTTCATCGAGACCATAGTCTACCTGATCCCAGGAGATGGTCTCGGCGCCTCCTTCTTCAAAGGTTAGAAGGAGACTGTCTTTCCCAGGTATAGACCCTAAGATGGTGCGGTTTTGCCATCTCTTACCCACTTGCAGATCCTTCCAGGAATGACAATAATTTGCTTCAGCAAGGAAGCCGGCATGATCTATGGCGATCTTGCCGAACTTCTCATATGTCATCCCCTCTTCCTTGGTACGGGGATACAGTTGTGCTCTTAGAGGATCCGGGAGTGCTCGTGCAAAACTGTTTAAGATTTGGGCTGGCGTTAATCCATGATCAGGGCATTGCAATAGTTCATCCATAGTTGCCTTTAATGCAGACGTACTCTTCCATTTCCTATCGGGGAGGCCGAGGATCAACATTTTTGTGCACCTTGCCAGGTTCTTGTCCTCAAATCTCTCTCTTATCGCTTTAAGGAAATCCTCAATACGCGTCTGTTGTGAATACTCTACCATAGAGCTGCATCCCGCCTCTTTTTGCAGCGAGATGTTGAAGCTCATGGCGTCGCCTCCCATGCACGAGGTTGCCATCAATACCCTGTCCCAGTATGGAATTCGTTGTCCATACACATAAGTTTCAATTGCCGCCGCCCAGTGCAACACACTCTCTTCTTTCTTTCCATTGTAGGTCCATGGCAGTTTAAGCTTAATCTTGTTAGTCTGCCCGGGTTCCTGGGAAGGTTGACCCTTTGAATCCTCAATCTTCTTCTTTCCTTTCTTGTCATCATCGTCGTCGCCATCTCCATCTCCTCCGTCACCTCCAGCTCCCTTTACAATCTTCTCTACGACCTCCGGGGTGAAGACTTTATTAATATGTTCGTCCAAAGCCTGGATGTAAGTTTGCACATGTTGNAAGCCTGGATGTAAGTTTGCACATGTTGGTCAACGTCCTTTGCTGACTTTTCTACGAAGTTATTCCAGACATTCTCAAATTCAACCCGATGTGTTTCTACACGTTGCAAGGTCTGCCGCATTAAGTCCATGTCTTGCCTCGTGTTGAGGACGGCCTCCCTGAGGAGTGCAAGTTGTGCTTCAGTTGCAGAGGGGTTTTCCTTTTGCGCTTCTAGAGCTTTCTGCAATTTATACCCTTCTGCCTGCAATCTTTTCTTTTCTTCCACCTCTTGCCGTCTAGCGCCCAACAGCCTGCGATTTAGCTCAGCCCGTTTCTCCTCCAACATCAGGTTTCGTTCAACGGTGTCTTTAATAGTGGCCAACTTGGCGATGAACGTATCCCGTTTTTCATCAGATTCTTTTAACGACTCGCTGGAGTAGTAGTACTGGCTACCCCAGTCCAACGGTTCAACGGGAAGGCGGGTCGTGGTACTGCTTTCCGATATGTCTTGGCGACGACGTCTTTCCAACACTTCTCCTTCTTCTTGTTGTTCTTCTTCTTCTTCTATACTTTTCAATTCTTCCTCCAACTCTCTCTTCATCTTTTCCTTCATCTTTTTCCTTGCCTCTTCTTCTTTCTGTTTCTTCTTTGCTTCTCTCTCCTTTTTCTTCTCTGCCAACTTACGATCTATCTCTGCCTGTTCCGCAGGTGTAGGACCAGGCTTCACTGTTCCAGACCGCATCAGCATGCAGGACGTGCACACATGCCCGAACCCCAGTGGGAACATAAGCCGGAACAGCGGCCCCAACAAGACAGAAAGGGCCAACAGGCCCTGGATGGGATAGTCATCCATGATGACTGCCGGCACAGGAGATCCTCCGCCGGGTCACCAAGGTACTATCCCACGTACAGACTTGGTCTTGACTTGCGGTAATGGAGTACTTATACCTTTCCTTTTCCCTTTTTTTTTTTGTTTAACGGTAGAAGGTGCTGCGTACAATCAACAATAGATCAAACTACAATGAACTTGAATATGTCTATTTTTTTTTTATTTTTTTTTTGATGTGTTGTCTGGCCTCCTGGATCGAACGTTTGGTAATGTGTTCCTGTTGTCTTACTTTCTCTTTTTTTTTTTGTACTAACTTGGCTGGTTGCTTGGTGCAGATATGGAGTACATCGCAGATTCAGATGGTTCACTTATCCAACCAGGCAGAGATGCTTCGTATACCCTGTTCTTTCTTTCGGGCTTAACAGGCCCGGGAGATAATATCATCCTTATACTGCCTGGTACATGCTATCTGATGTGGCACATTGCCACTCCCCACATCGATCCTTGGTTCTTGATGACGATACCCAGCCTGCCTATTAAGAGGGATAGGAGAGAGACCTACTCCTATTCGCAGAATGCTGGACCACCTACTTTAGTGAGACCAGTCCCTGACACATCGCCCTTGGGTCATCAGACTCTGACGGCTCAGACCTGACAGCTATGACACCCCAGATCCAGACTTCGACTCCTGACCAGATCAGCAGCAGTCGCCTTCAGAGGGTCAGAGAGAGAGAAGGTAGGGGACACACACATGCATGCAGGTTCAGGGAAAAGGAGGTGCTTCTCTCTTCTTGAAGATACCGCCGATGATGCTCCACGACGCTCCGCACGCTCCAGGTAAGTAACTTCGTCACTTCTTCTTCGACCTGCTTCCCCACTATCCAACCCGTCTTGTCTTCTCCTCCTCCCTCTTCCCTATTCCTCCATCACCACTTCTTCTCGCCGGCCTTGATCAGACCAGCGCTATGAGTGTAGCGAGCATCTGCTCCGATACCAAAATGGCATGGGTCCTGGGGACCATCTCACGCAAGTGTGTACATGACATGCATCATACTCGCACACAATGATAAGTAGTCTCACACAATAGACAAAGGTAGATGAGAAGAGAACCGAGTTTCCAGGCTTATATTATCAAAAATATGATTACAAAGTGTTTCCAAGTTCCCCTGAGTCCAGTGCTCATCAGCGCAACACGAATCTCTCGTCAACTCATCATTATGACTTCCAGTGCATCAGCGCTACATCTGCAGACTATCTCTACGTCATTAATGTGGTCACCACTCATCAGCGCCACTTCTGCAGTTCACATGCAACTCAGGTAAGTATCATCCATAGCCCAATCTTGAATGAACACTTTCTGCCTCGGCCCCTTCTCCCTATGATGCATACACACTCTTCTCTCATGAGGATCTACTCTGAATACTACTCGTAGTTGACTAACACTAACTCTCTAATACTAATGCTAACTGTTGGGCAGCTATGGCTGCATTACTTCCAGCATCCAGGCTTCTTCCCTCACTCAGCGCATCTTCATCCTCCAGCGCTGCTCCTCCTGACTCAACGCACAAGTGCACCAGCACTTCCACGCAATGACAGCCAGTGGAGATCTGACGAGGAATGAGGCTGGCAGCTTTCTTCATAGTGCTGGCCACTCCTCGCTGGGTCTGCATTGTCTCAATTCAGCCTGTCCTTTGCCCCAGACCCTGCATTGCATGTGTCCCAGTATAGTCCCAATGAGGTTCGACTGCTGCTGGGGCCTCTCGGCCTAGATTTGGACTTCAAAGTCTGGATCCGGACTGACCCCTTGACTTAAACCAGAACTGGGACTGTGCCTATTGACTTTACTTTCGGACAGGCACAACTCTAAACGAACAGACATATTTACTGCCTGAACAGACACTTTCCTTTGCACGAACAGGTACACTGCCTGCACGTACAGACACACTCTTACCCGAACAGACATGACATACACATCTCCTGGTGAACAGGTAAGTCTTTTGACAATGCCCTTTGCTTTAGACTCAGATGTGCCTGTTGATAGAGAACTTGACCTTTGACCTGCTTTCACGTTTCTGAGCCCTGGCGAGATACCCTTTCACAATGCTTTACTTTTACAAGGCCCGTGCTGCTTTACTTTTACAAGGCCGGAGGCCTACATCGGGTAAAGGCCCTTTTACAGAGATGGTTTACAAACCCAACAGACTGAATTATAAAGAAGGAACAAACTGCATGCATTGATTGGCTACATTCTGGATTTGTGAGAAGCTTCATCAACTAGCACTGCAGGGGGCGTGTTTTTTTTACCAAAAAAAAAAAAAAAAAAAGGAATATTCGAAGAGTGACACTGAGAAGATATGGTATGGCATGAACAGAAAAGCGACACTCTAGTCAATCTGGAAGGAGAGATGCAGCAGAAGCTGCAGAACCATCAAGGGACTATCAACTCCGAGAGAAATGGTTTGGGTGGAGACAAGGACCCTGATCCAGGCAGAGATCCTATGCAGATGGCACAAGATGAGACTCTCCATGCCTGAAGATGAAGATCGACAGCGCAGTATCCTCTCCAAATTCGTCAAGGTCTGGCTGGTGGGGGGGAAATAGCAGGGATAAGAGACTCCAACCTACGATGGAAAAATTGGCACAACTTGGAGACGACCGGGAGAAGCTCAATATCTCACTCAATGGGGGGCCCACAGGATCCACAGGCTACATAAGGAGTAACAACAACCTTCATTTTCATGTGGAAGCATTTTTCTTTCCTTAGTTCTCCTAGCTGATTAAAGCCTATTTGACAGGTTTCCAGAGGGGAATCTGAGAGGGAGTTCAGGGAAAGGCAAGCTGACAGTCAATCCTCCTATAAGGAGCAATCAATGCTTGTCAGGGTTCCCTTCGGCCAGACGGAAGGAAGCATGAGCGTGCTCTATGATGTATCAAATTGTTGACTTGCCGGGGTAATAGGAACCGGACTGACGCTCCCCAGAATGGATATGGAGCCAGGACCAAAAGGGCCTGTTCAAAAAAAAAAAAAA